CAAAAAAAAAAAAAAAAAAAAAATCTAACTAAGCCAGTAATGGTAGCACATAGCTATAATCCCAGCTACTGTTTTAGGCAGAGGTAGGAGGATTGTAAGTTTAAGACCAGCCTGGACAGTTTAGTGAGACCTTGTCTCAAAATAAAATTTAAGAAGGGTAGGGCTGTAACTCTGTGGTAGAATGCTTTCCTAGTAGACACGAGTCCCTAGCTTCAGTTCCCAATACCAACAGCAACAAAAAAAATCCCAATCAAGGGGATGTTGCTCAGTAGTAGGGGTCTTGCCTAGCATGTACAAGGCCCTGGGTTCCTTCCTTAGCACTGGAAAAAAAAAAACAGTATTCAAATTCCCCTGATTGAATCATCAGTTTTTTAACAGTTTAAATCAGCAGTTTTATTGACATGTTTAAACCTCTTGGGTCTAAAGTTAAATCTTTTAATCTATAGATTCTGATACCTCACTAACTGGAGTTTATTTATCGGTACCATATTGTTTGCGCCAGTTCTCCCATAGTCTGGATCTTACTGGTTAAATTCTCACGGTACGACTTCCTATTTCATTTATTTTCTGCAAATTGATAGGCTTAGAGGCTTGACAAAATTTAGGTTTTTGTTTTTGTTCGGGTGGCAAGAATACTTCTCAGGTGTTACGTTAATCTTCCATCATGAGGCACGTAGTGTCTGGTTGTCCTCTTTTGCGTGTGACACTAACAGCCGCTGGTAATCATTAACTGTGTAATCAACTTTTTATTAATAGCTTCTCCCCTAACTCCCAACTTCCTAGCTTAATTTCAAGGCCTTGCTTCTTGCCTAGGTTTCTGGTCAAATTTCCATAGGTAAATTTTCTTTGAAAATGTCCTTGATTCCTTCTTATCCTCCCTTCAGAACATATTGCATAGGAAGAATTACTTTCCTCAAGCAGTACTTTAATCTATTACTTCTGGTACTGACAGCTGCTTCCAATTTATTGCCTTTAAAAGCAAATCTAAAATCTAGTTTCATCTTTCCCTCTTGGATTGCCATTGGATCAAGCACTTTGAGCTTTTTTTTTGTTTTGTTTTTTTGTTTTTTTTGTTTTTGAGACAGGGTCTCACAGCAGTTCAGACTGCTCTGAAACTCACTGTGTAGCCCAGGCTGGTCTTGAACTCACAGCGATCCTCCTGCCTCAGCCTCCCAAGTGCTGGGATTACAGGCGTGTGCCACCACACCTGGCATGTTGAGCATTTGGATTTGATCACACTGTTTTTGCTTGTTTTGCTGCATGTTTGGGTTCCTCTAAGTCCATTTTCTCTAGCAAGTAGGGAACCTCAGGACAAGGACCTTCTTCTCTATCCTTAGTACCCTGCTCTCTCAGGATCTAGCTCTTTCTTCTTGTGATAATTTCTACAGTCAGTGGTTCATTAGCTGAGGGCTGGGACTGTTTGTATAAGGGGCAGGAAGGACTGACTCAGACTCTTTATGAAATACCAAGAAATTGGCAAGGTTTCAGAGAGCAGAAGTGATAAAATCATAACATCTCCAGCTAGGAATGGCTTTACCTGCATTTATATAGTAGGTGAGGAAACTGAAGCCAGAGTAGTGGAATAACTTGTTAGTTGGGAGTAGAGCCAAGTCACTTGAGTCACAGACGAGAGTCCCTAACACTGTGAATGTTAGGAGAAGATGGCCGAATTGATCAGCCTGGAGCCATTTCAGGTCAGAGAGGTGAAATGATAACCAGTGCTGTCCCATCTCCCTGGACCTCACCTCCTTTCAGGGTTATCACCTCCATTTACATTCTCATACTTCATCTCTTCAGAGGACAGAGCAAGAACGTGAAGGAAAAACTTGGTGACTAGGAGGCAATTCTCAAACACGGAAATGGAGGCAGGCTCTGTGAAGGTGCAGTGTCAGGCAGGAGGCATTCACATTTCTACCTAGGGAACTGATTTTGAAAAGTACATAGTCATATATGATACATGATGGGCCTTGATTACTGATATTTCTCAGGCCATATGATACCAACTGGGGAAACTAAGAATTTCATTTGTAGAAATTATGCAAGATAGTTAATGGTTTTTATTATTCAAATATATTTTTTAAATCAGGTTTTCATGGTATAATAAAAAGTTAAATCTATATTATTTTCTTTCAAAAAGAATTTGAGCCAGGAGTGGTGATGCATGCCTGTAATTCCAGCACTTTTGAGAGGCTGAGGCAGGAGGGTCACCATGAGTTTGAGGCCAACCTGGGCTGCATAATGAGTTCAAGGCCAGCCTGAATGACATAGAAAGACCCTGTCTCAAAAACAAACAAATATACAACAACAACAAAAAGAATTTGAAATCCTTGTTCATTTTAATAATCTCCAGTATAGAAACCAGTCTACAAGCTCGAACCTGACCAAGGGATGACAAGGATGAGAAACAAAGAGACACAGAATCAGGTTTAAATCTGGAGGGCCAGGGGCCTCATTGTCCCCCTTCAACAGTGAAACCCAAGTGACTGGCGCACCTTGGCTTTATTCACTCAGACACGGGCACAGGCAGTTACGGTTAAACAGGGTTCACCTGTCTCCCACCCTCCATGGTACTTGTCTGGATAAACAGCTTCAGGTGTTTTCACTTTTCCCTGCAGTGTCAGCACACTTGCATGCCTCTTTCTTCTCGTGCTCAGCGAGGAGGCCAGTGAGGCCTCAGTCTTCCCATCTGGTCTGCCATAGTCCAGGACTTTTTCAAAGCTCTTCAAAAGCTTTTACTATCACACTTTAAAAACTCACAAACTTACACCTGCCATATTCATGATTATTTGTTTATTTAATTGGGCCTTTTGAGAAAGGGTCTCACTATGTAGTTCAGTTTTCCTTGAGCTCACTGTGCAGCCCAAGCTGGCTTTGAATTCGCAGCAGTCCTGCCTCAGCCTCCCAAATGCTGGGATTGCAGGCGTGTGCCACTACGTTCAACTGCATATTCATGTTTACAGGACATTATGTACAATGTCATTTAACATCTTAGACTCCATACTTTTTTATGTCAATAAAAAGGAAGAAAAGGGGCCGGGGATTTAGCTCAGCGGTTCGGTGGCCCGCCTGAGTTCAATCCCCGGTACCAAAAAAAAAAAGGAAGAAAAGCGTGAGAAACCCTTCCTGGTTCCATTTCTGAATTTTGTAAACTGTCTCTGTTATACCACTAAAAGTGCTTTCTCAAAGTTACTGGTCATCTCCTGTTACCAAGTCCAGTGGATTTACTGATTTTTCCTGCTTTCAGGCTTCTCTGTAGCATCGGACTCTGCTGATCCTTTCTCTGATTTTCTCTTCGGTCCTCACTTGCTGTGATGCACTGCACAATCCCACTTTTCCAGCTCTGACAGTGCTTTCCACTCTTCAAGACTGTCTGTGTCCTTACAGCCTTTCAGCCCGGCTTTCAGCCATTTGAGAGGGACTTTGAACCTGAAGTATGGTCAGAATTTGGACTGGCTCAGAAGTGGACTCTGGAAGCAAAAAGATAGGTGAAAAAGCCCGGTTTCCTTTGTTTATTTGACAAAGTAGATCTAGGTTTCCTGCTGAAATTAAATGATAGTGACCTTTCTCCCAAGGAAAAATGTTAAGTCATTAGATACAGTTTTCTGAATTTTCATTGTTCTGCTCATAATTTTTTATACTTTTGATATGATTAATAGTCTGTCTAGTAGTGAACAAATGCACAAAATACAGTATTTCATAGTGTACTGTATAACATACCTTATTTTCAAATACTCCATCCCCTGAACTGGTCTGTTCTGTTCAAGGTGAGTTCTGTGGAGTGGCCTATGAGAAAAAATATATGTGGAAAAGCTGTCTTCAAATATATCGGGAGGAAAAATTAGATCTACCCTGTGGTTACAGAAGACAAACCTAAGATTGATGGGCAAAAGTTTTAATAGAGCTATTTAAAAATGAAGTTGTAGCTGGGTGTTGTGATGCATACTTGTAATCCCAGTACTCACGAGACTGGGGAAGGAGTATCAGGAGCTACATAGCAAGACCTGTCTCAAAAGAAATGAACAAATGAAGGTAAGAGGTTACTAGTTTCTGTTTCTGGAGGCATTTAAGAAGCAAAAGCTAAACCAACAGATTTCAGAGTTATAATAAAAGCATTTCATTATCTGAAATGGAGATTTGAAAATTCTAACTCTCAGGTGATGACCTTCCTCTCCTTCTGCCACTTGTTTTCTTTTTTTTTTTGAGATGGGCTCATTATGTTACCAGTACTGGCCTCAAACTTCTGGACTCAATTGATCTTCCTCCCTCAGACTTCTGAATGCCTGGGACTACATGTTCACCATGCCCGACTCCCCACTTGTTTAGAAAGAGGAATCCTATTCTGCATTTGAGTATCCTGTCCAAAAAATATGAGAGTTCAGACATAAGAGCAAAAAGGGAATTAGAGACAGATGGTAGAACTATCATGGAAGACACTGAGGTTGAACAGAAGGAGAAGCAATGACTAGGCTCGTTGGGGAAGTGTAAACAGGCGACTGATAGAAAGATAAAGTGAAGCAAGGCAAAAGATGGTGGTGGGGGAAAGGAGTATCTGTGTGAGTGTACAGAAAAGGAAGTGGCCTTGTATCTGTACAAGATGGCGGCAGTTTGCCCTGTGAGCAGAGTGTGAACCAGAAGACCACATAGATCAGTGGTGGCGAAACTGGCCCAGGCTGTGTGTATCACTTAAAGCTCTAAAAGGTTCTCCATCACTGACATAAATAGTATCAAATGGAAGACACTTCAATTTCAATCGAAGAGCTTGGGTAAACGCTCCTGTTCACTGGGAGGGAGAGCAAGCAGAAGAAAGAAAACATGCCAATGCAATGAAACTTCTAGCAACTGTCCGACTTAAAAGTTGACCTATAACTTTTTGGTAAAGATTAATTTTTAACAATTGTGAATATTTCAAGAAATACCGGGAGTGAGTTATGCATATGGTGGACTTTTCAACTTTGATCTCTAGGGCATCTTTTGAAATTCATCTCTTTAGTCACTAAAGCTACTTTTTCCTTTCAGGCAGAAGGCCACAAGCTGAACAAGGACCTGAAAAACTTCCTTAGTGCAGTCAAAGGTGGGCACAGGAGAATCCAGAGGGCATTTATTCAGATGCTAAGAGGTCGGGGGGGGGTGGAAAAAAACAACCAACCCAAGAGCTTTACACTTGTTTGCCCTTGGCTCCTGGAACTCACTGGACCTAAGAGGAACAACGTTTCCTATCCGAGCCCTGTCCAGCTTCCCTCACTGATAACCTAACCTTCTTAGTTTGTCCTTCTAAGCCGCTGATTTGTGTCACCCATATGATTACATCAGATTACCTTTTGGAAACTTGATGGTAACAGAGTTCTCTTTCAGTGATGCATGAAAGTTCAAAGAGAGTGTCAGAGACGCTGCAGGAGATCTACAGCAGCGAGTGGGATGGGCATGAGGAGCTGAAGGCCATTGTAGGGGTAAGGGTGATTTGGGCTGTGTGACTCTTCACCACGTACGTCTGTACTCGTCTCAACCTCAGCTGAGAGTCTCTGTCCAAGAAAATCGGGAAACAGAGAATCTAGTTCACACTGTCCATTTGTATAGCCTCAGGTGACTGGGTCATAGGAAGAAGCTGCAACATTAAGACAAAAATGTTTTCCCTTATCTGTAGATTCCCCATGGTTTTGACTCTCTTCCCCTCTTTAATACTTTATGAAAGTTTTACCTCCTAAAGACTGGTTGTTTTTGGACAATAACTTATTCAGTTAATTACTCCAAAACTTCCCTACTCTTTTAAGCTGTAGCATCCAGGGCTCTGAACATACGTTTGTGTTCTTCGTCCCTAAATATGTGTCTAGTCTCCCAGAGGGCAGTTCCTTGGGACAGGGCTGTCTTTTCTTCCTCCAACTCTTCCCCAGAATCCAGCAAGATAGTCTAAGTATAGATAGTACTACAAAAAAAGTTTTTTTTTTCTGCAAGGAGAATGTGAGTGCTTCCTTGGTAGGCAGTTATTGAGAAGTGGAGCCCTCACCAGCCTCTGCCTCTATCCTACAGAATAATGATCTCCTTTGGGAAGACTATGAAGAGAAATTGGCTGACCAGGCTTTGAGGACCATGGAAAACTATGTAGCTCAGTTCAGCGAGATTAAGGTACTTGATTTACAAAATGGAGACTAGGTTGTATATGACCCATATCAGTTAGAAATATGTTCAGGTTAAACAATATAAGTAGCATTAGAGCCCATGGTTAGAATGAGGTTACATAGGATAGGAAAAGGATTAAGGAATAAGTTAGAGGTAGCATGAAAGGGATGTTTAAACCTAGATTTCAGTGAGCTAGCTTTGGGCTTAGTGGATCAGTGAATAAAATCTGGGTCAGGGCATCTCTTTTAGATGTGAGAAACAGTTGACGGAAAGAAAAATAGAAGAGGAAACTTCAAATACTTGAAACTCTGTTAGATGAAAGGAACTCCGCCTGTTCTGAACTGCTTGAGAATGCAGAATTAGGATGTAGCTGTTTATTCAAATAAATTTATGAAACATCTGTTTGGCATAGTGCTGATTTTAGCTTAGGAAGAAATTGGAGAGAGGTAAACTTAAGTTCCCAAACTTACATTAAAGATTAAGCTTCAACCAGGTATAATAACACATACCTGTACTTGAGAGGCTGAGACAGAAGGATGGCAAGTTCAAAGCCAGCCAAGGCAACTCATTGAGACCTCAAAATAAAAAGAGGGCAGGGATGTACTCAGTGAGACAGAGACAGAGAGATTGATTTTTTTTTTTAAATGAAATATACTCTCAGGTATTGTTCTCTGTTCAAGCAGAAGGCAAACTATTTCTTACCTTGGATATTATAGAGGAGGTTCATGTATCATATAGGAAGTTGGACAAGATAATCACTAATCTTTTCAAATATCTTTTCAAATTATCTTTTCAAACTCTGTGTTAGAGATGAGGCGGGCCAATGACAGAATTTACCTCTCCCTGATATAATCTAATTTGGATGAGATTGAGTAGATTCTCTGTCACCCCTTAGTGTACTTTACTTTTTAGAGTACTTTATATTCAGCATTTAGTCTTTAAGATAATACTTGTTGGAACAGGGGGTACATGATGCTACTGGAGCTCCAAAGAAATATATGGGGGGGAAAAGTGTATGTGCCTTTCCATATACCATAGAGCTGAGGAATGGCAGATTTAGAATAAAGACCCAAAACTCTTTTTTTTTTTTTCTGGTTTTTTGAGACAGGGTCTCACTATGTAGTTGAGACTGACCTGGAACTCACTGTGTAGTCCAGGCTGGTCTCAAACTCAGTGATTCTCCTGCCTCAGCCTCCCGAGTGCAGAGATTACAGGTATGCGCCACCACACCCGGCAATTCCTTTTAATTTAGAGGTATTCAAGGTTGTTTATTCTAGAGGCTGAACCAATTTATATTGTATTCATAGGAAATAATAAAATTTAATGCATGATTCTACATCCCCTGTAGGACTGTCCCTTACTGTCTCTGCCTGAGAATCACCATTCTTCTGAGACAGTAAGGGAGGTCCCTGGGGCACCAAACCATATTAAAAAGTAAGATTTGAGGGCCGGAGATTTAGCTCAGTGGTTCTTCTGCCTGCCTTGCAAGTATGAGGTCCCGAGTTCAATCCCTGGTACCAATAACAACGAAAGTAAAATTTGGTAATAGGACCCCAAAATCTTGCCTCTCTGCTTGATATTGTCACTTCTATCCTGGCCACTGAAAAATGAACATCCACACCCTTTCTCATCACTCTGGGTTAGGAGAGAATTGCCAAGCGGGGTCGGAAACTTGTGGACTATGACAGTGCACGACACCACCTGGAGGCGGTGCAGAATGCTAAGAAGAAAGATGAGGCCAAGATTGCCAAGGTGAAAAAAACGTAAAACCTTCCTGCTTTCCCTCACCCCAGAATGGTGCCCGGTGGCTGGGCCAAGGTGGGTGTAAGAAATGATAAATTCAGCATCCAGTGTCCTAAATGACAAGCTGGTGTTTTTTTTTTTCTGACACTTGTGCTGTAAGGGTAGTCAGAGTCTTGAGGATGGGTAGGGAGTGGGTCTGGAGAAAGAAGGAGAGGAGAGGAGAGTTAGTCTCCACACAAGCCTTGTCCCTGACAAAATGCAGAGGACAAAGGAGCCTCTAGCCATGGATTCAGGATTAAATGGGGTTGTCTTGTCTCCTGTACTACCTAGGCAGAGGAAGAGTTCAACAAAGCCCAGCTTGTATTTGAAGATCTGAACCAGGAGCTACTGGAGGAACTGCCTGTTCTTTATAATAGGTAACAACTGCAATTCAGGAAAGTGCTACCTTCCTGGGCCAGTGGAGGCCAAGACCACCTGGCAGCCCTAATACACCACCTCATGAAAAATACCTTGGCCCAGGAATGGGTTGTAGCCTCTGCCCTGCCATACTCACTGTGTGATATTAGGCAAGACGCCTTATCTCTTTAGTGCCTGCTTTCTTCACCGGTAATTCACAGATAATCATCCTTGTCCTGCCAGCTTTTCTGGGTTTGGAGACAAGATGTTCCTTAACAAGGAGATCTTAGCAAACTGTCAGCGTGAACGCTGTCAAAAATCTGATTTTATGCTCAGGTGTGTATTGTTTAAACAAGCTTGGTTCATATAAATGCCCAGATTTACATAGATTAGTCACAGGATGATCATTTGCATCACTGATTGTGTCTTTGCTTAACAGTGCAGCGTTTCAGATTTAAATTGTCCACACTGGGGGCCGGGGATTTAGCTCAGTGGTATTGCCGCCTGCCTCACAAGCTCATGGACCCCAGTTCAGTCCCTGGTACCAATAAGTAAATAAATAAATACTCCACACTGGAAGAGAAGTCTGGGCATAAACTCCACTCATACCTTATTTTCATTGTATAAGATATGTTTTAATTCATTTATAGTCGGAGTATTGTATATTGTTAAAGTTAATCCACATATTTTAAAGCCTTTTTCATAACTGCATATATTCTGAAACATTACATGATTCAATTTGAATAGAATTAAAACTTGATTCAGTTTCTTTTTTTAAACTCAGTTTCTTTAAGTATAAACTTTCCCAATCTTTTTTCTTTACATTTTTTTGAGACAAGGTCTCACTGTGTAATCCAGGTTGGCCTTGAACGCACAGCAATCCTCCTACCTCAGCCTCCCAAGTGCTAGTATTACAGGCATATGTCACCATGCCTGGCTCTGAGAGTAACTACTTCTTATAATAATTATAATTACATGGCCTTATATTTATATAGCCCTTTAAAAGATTTTTGTTCAAAGCATTTCATGTCTACTTTAATACCTCAAGAGGGCTGGGGCTATAGCTTAGCGGTAGAGTGCTTGCCTAGCATGGACAAGGTCCTGGATTAAATCTCCAGTACCACATCAAAAGGATGGGGGGTTGTCTAGGAATACCTTAAGAGCCTGAATCACGTAACTTCGTGAGCCAGAGATCTGTTCAACATTGGTGTCAGTCTGTCCTGCTATTACTTCCCCTGGTCTTTGTGTTCCTAAGAATCAGGTGTGTGCCTGGCCCAGTCTGATTAATCCATAACTAAGAACATCCAAGTCTAGAATCTAGTGGTCTTGTGGTGACTAGTTTTGACTTAGTTCCTACCATGTATTTCACATAAAGACCTCCTTTACTGTCCCTTACCTGTGTGTGTTTCTTGTTTTATTTCCTAATAGTCGTATTGGCTGTTATGTGACCATCTTCCAAAATATTTCCAACTTGAGGGATGTCTTCTACAGGGAGATGAGCAAGGTGAGACTCAAATGGCTAATGGAGACTCATAAGTGGATTTTTTTCAGTGAATATAAAATTTACTGTGATTTACATAATTTCGTTATACCCCCATATTTGCACCACAGATTTTGACTTTTATCTCATGATGAGTTAATAGTACTTAATAGATGTGGATGAACCACATTCAAACATATTTGTATTATATGGCGAGGAGAAACCAAAAAATACATACAGACTCAAGTAGTTCATCATACTACCCTGAGTACCTCTTGTGATTGTAGAGGCCAGGTATCACCTATATTAATCTCATCATGTCTTCAATAAATTTAGTATTAAAATAATTATCCAAGTTTTTATTTTCTTGATATATACATTTTGGTTGACTCTGATCTATGAAGATATATAGATAGATAAATAGATAGATAGGTAGATAGATTATCAGAGAGGGAGATGGCCCTTTTCATCTCCCTTAACAACTAAGAGCATCTAAACTCAGAATGAACAAAGAGGCTAAGCCCATGGAGGGAACAATTAAAGTGAGGACTCAAATTGTAAAATCTCTGTTTTTGTTGAGGAATGGAAAAAATAGTGTTTAAGCACGAGTCAGTTTTCCAGGTGGTTGGTCTGGGATAGGATCTTTCCCCTCGGTGACAGGCAGCCATATAACATGACCCCCTGTGGTCTTTTCCACTCAGGGATTCCAAGATTCTTCGCTATTATATTATTCACACACAGTCACACACATGTTCCCCTCCACAGTTTCTTTTGCTTGGTTAACAGTAAAGTAAGTTTTCATTCCCTGGATCACCTAAGAGGAGCTAGAATGTCAAACTCAGCAGTTATGGATATAGCCTGAGAGAGCTGCCAGTCTAATAGAAGAGGTAGACCTTAGGACACCAAGAAACGAGAGTAGCGGAAGACAGAATACTGGACGCTAGTCCATGAGAGACGAGTAGGTATTACAGATCAGAATTGGAAGAGTGAGCCATTTTTATTTTGGGAAGCTGCCTTAAGGAGAGGACCGTCTTGGGTTCCCATTTGGTTAGCCTCTCTTTCTTTCTTGCTCTAGCTGAACCATAGTCTCTACGAAGTGATGAGTAAACTGGAGAAGCAGCATTCCAACAAAGTCTTTGTGGTGAAGGGAATGCCAAGGTGAGCAATTTCTGAGACCCTTTTCTGCTTCATTGGCCCTGTGAGTGAACATATTCAGTGTTTTTATCTGCAGTCCAAAATCCTGGTCTTAACCCCAGGATGGTGGTGCACACCTGTGATCCCAGTGTTTGGGAGGCTGAGGCAAGAGGATCATCATGAGTTTGAGGTCAGCCTGAGCTACATAGTGAGTTCAAGGCCAACCTGAACTGCACAGTGAGACCCTGTCTCAAAAAACAACAACAACAACAACAACAACAACAACAACAAAACTGGTTTTTTCTTTATGTTTGTGGTCATGACATTGTTTGAACTATGCTCCTATATATTTTTTTCATTAAATATTTTGGATAAAACTAATGACATAAAAATAATATAACAAATGGCCATATACCTACCACCAAACTTAGATTTGGTTTATTTGTTTGCTGGTTGGTTTCTTTGGTGCTGGAGATCAAACTTGGGACCTTGTCCTTGCAAGGCAGAAGGCAGAACCACTGAGCTAAATCTCCAGCCCATGGTTTGGCTTATTTGAGACAGGTCCTTGCTGTGTAACCCAGGCTAGCCTTGAACTCATTGTCCCTTTGCTTCAGCCTCCCAAGTGCTCGGATTATAAGCATGCACCACTGTGCTGGGGCCTATACAATTTAAATCAACTACTGTAAAAATTGTTGGGCCAAGGATTTAGCTCAGTGGTGCTGCTGACTGCCTCACAGCTACAGGGTTCTGAGTTTAATCCCCAGTAACAAAAATAAAATAAAGATCACTGATACTTCTGGTGTCCTTTTCCCACTCAATTTCTCTCTCTGCCACCACCAAACTTAAGCCACTGTAATAAACTCCATGTATGTCTTTTTTACTTACACATATACTTACACATAAAGCATTATTTTGCATTGTTTTTAATGTTTATTTAGATGGACTTATATGCATGTATTCATATTCTTCTATAGTTTTGTTTTGTTTTGTTGATACGGGGTGTCTGTGTTGTCCATACTGGTCCTGAATTCCGGGATCTAGCGATCTCCTACCTCAGCCTCCTTGAGTATAGGTGATATAGGAAGAATACATGTAACTCCCGACCTGCTAGATATGCTGAGCTCATGTTCCCCACATTTGAAGAATTAATTCTAAGGAGCAGTAGAGGTTACCTTATTGAGAGAGATAGCTCCTCAGAGGCAGGAGGGGACCTGAAGGTGGGTTGCCGCAGATCCCACTTTACAGAGGAAGTTTTATAGAACAAAATCATAAGGTGGGTATAACATGGGTCGAAACTATGATTGACCAATACAATTTTAAGTATAGCTGCTTAGGAAATATTGGTCCCATGGGGAAGCAGGTCATGTAGCAAGTATATATGGAAAAAACAAGAACCTTTTTAGGAAGAAATGAATCAAGAGGTTCTGGCCATCCACCGAGGTAACTGATGTCTATCTAGACTTTATTGGACCAAGAGACACCAATTATATATTGTTTATCCCTTGGGGAGGCATGCAGGCATTCTGTCTTTATCCTGAAGCCTGGCCTTCAACGGATGCACCTTCAGCCCACAGTTGTAATGTGTTCTGGTCTTCTACAATGACTCCCTTGAGGGCCTATCCCTGTCTGACTGTCTATAATATTTCTACCTAACTTAGCTGTGTATAATATTGGGACTGTGGTGCATCTTCTTTTGTTTTCTTAGTATTATTTGGGGGAATTTATCCTTGTTGCTAGCTGTGCTCTTTCCATTACTGCTTTTGTTTGTTTGGTTGGTTGGTTGGTTGGTTGGTTTTTGGTTTTTTGAGACGAGGTCTTACTATGTAGTCCAGACTGGCCTTGAAGTCGCTATGTAGCACAAACTGGCCTCGAACTCAAAGCAATCCTCCTGCCTCAGCTTCCTGAGTGCTGAAATTACAGGTGTGCGCCACCACGCCTGGCTCTATAACTGTTATTGATGCTGTTGGATGCCAAATTCGTGACTTATTTATTTTCTAGCTAGTCGGCATTTGAGTTATTTTCCAGTTTTTTACTATTAGAATAATGTTGCGATAAACATGTCATTTTTCCTTGTGAATATTACCCAGAGTTTCTTTAAGGTTTATACACAGTAGAACTGTTGGGTCATAGAGTCTGTCACCAGAGCTTCTTCTTCAGCCTTACTCGCTTACTCCAAATTGCTCTCCAAAGTGATTGTTACATTGTACAACCCATGAGCAACGAACGTAAGCCCCCATGGCTCACATTCTCACTGCATATGAAATGGTCAGGCTTAATTCTTTTAAGCTTATGGATGTGAAATGGAGTTACTGGCGGTTTTAAGTCACATCTCCACAATTGCCAATTACCTTGGGCGTCTTTTCACATATTGGCTATGTAAGGTTCCTATTCTGTGACTTTCATAAATACAAAATACTTTTCAATTGGGTTGTTAACTCTTTTTGGAAATTTAATTTATATGAATTTTTGTAGGTATGTTCCAGATGCTAATCATTAATTTTATGCGTTGTAGATATCTTTTCTCAATCTGTTGTCTTGCTTTTTTGCATGTATGTGTATGTGATGTCTTTTGCCTTCCTTCATGCATTCTTCCTACTGGAAAGTATAAGCAATTCATTGATCTCTCAGAATGTGATAACTTGCCAGTCTGAAGTCTTTGTTTAGGAAGTTTTATTAAGCTCATTCTGTGCACAGACTTCTATGCCAGGTGTTAGGGATCCAGAAACATAGAAGACCTGGCCTTTCCCTGATGTGGTTTATAAGAAGTTCAAAGAGGGCCGGGAGGTAGTTCAGCAGCACAGCGCCTGCCTAGTAAGCACAAAGGTCTGGAGTCCCGTTGCCTGCACTAAATAAATGAATGAATGAATGAATAAAAGACCCTACCTCAAGAAGTTCAAAGAGCCATTAGTGGTTTAATCCCAGCATTCTTAGAGATTGAGGCAGGAGGATTGTAGGTTCAAATTTAGCCTGGGCAACTTAGACTCTATCTCAAAAAAAAAAAAAAAAAAAAAAAAAGCAACAAAAACTAAAAGGCCTAGCTTCAGAGTGAAGGCCCTGGTTTCAATCCCCAGTACTCCCCTCCCTCCCCCCCCAAAAAAAAACCCAAAAGTTGCAAGTGTAGAAACTGTGTCTAAGGAGACAAGGAATGAACAGTGTAAGCTTGCCCATACTAAATGACTAATGATACCAGTGTGAATTCTAGAGAGAGATAAGTAATTGCCAGTGTGCAAGTGGTTAGGGAAGGCTTTAAAGAGATGGCGAAACTTAAAGGTAGAACAGGTATCACATTTGTTGTTTATACTGCTCAATTAGCAATTAGTTACAGGATATTTTAAAGAATTGCAGAAGGGCCAATCTAGATTTCTGTATTAGTCAGCTTTCCATCACTGTGACAAAATACCTGACACAAACAAAGGAGGAGATGTTTATTTTGGCTTTGGTTTCAGGGGTTTCATTTCATGGCTGGCTTGTTCCAAAGCAGAAACGTAACAGTGGAAGGGCTTGGTAGAGGAAAGTTGCCCATATCACTGCAGCCAGGAAACAGAAAGAAAAGGGCTGGGGAGCAGATAGTCTCCATGGTTATGCCCCATGACACATTCCCTTCAACTAGGCCTCACCTCCTAAGGTTCCATTACTCTCAATAACGCCATTAAATTATGATGTCATCAATAGATTGATCCACTTATTATGTTACAATCCTTGTGGTTGAATCATCTTCTGAAGGTCCCATCTCTGAACAAATGACTTCTGGAGCACATTTTAGATTTTACAACTTTCTAGACAAATTTCCTTTGCTCCAGGAAATTTTCCATTGCTCCTCTATCCAGTATTAAAAGCCACACTTTTCTGTAATTGTCTATTCTCTCCAAATTTATTCTCATTTATACTGAGATATCCCAGAACCTTGTGAAGAAATTGTATTTTTTTTCCTTATGTCCTGAGCCTTCTAAATTTAACTGACTCCTAGAATTCTAGTGCTAGAAAGAACTGTAGGTCGCATAGCTTATCCCACATCAGAAACTCCCACAAGGTGAGAACCAAGTGTTCCATTTCCTCCTCCCACCCTATGTCCAGGACACAGCACATAGTTGGAACCTGTCAAGTACATATTTGAGGTAGACAGTACATAAGAGGCACATAGGAGGTGGAGTAGGAGTCAAGCTGATGTTGGCTGTAGAAGTGCAACCCCATAATACGTACTGGATAAATGTTACTGTCAGTTCTTGTTATTCATGGCAGTATTGTTCTGTGAAGTTATCATAAACACAGAATACTTAACCATACTTATTGGGAAAACCAGGGTAAGGTTCCTACAAGTCACAACATTTTCATCACTAAACAATACATAACCTTGTTTGGTGTGCATTTTTGTTTAAAACCCTTAATTAATAATGCTATTGCATCATTCATGTAGAACTGAAAATCAACAGCACTGTATCTCATGCCTGAATGAAGTTTTGTCAAATGTATTCTCTGTGTAAGGCATATCACTTTAGCTTGGGGCCCATGTTAAACAGCAAAGTCACCAATTAAAAAAAGTACAAGAACATAAAAAACATAATGAACGGGCACTTGTTTACAGTATGAGAGCTGAAACAAAAAGGCAGATCGTTGTCTTAATTGGCCTCAGCTGAGAAAGTGTACTTGAGATGAACCATTTTTTATCACTGGCGTTATGTCCACAAATGACTGGATAAGCACCAGGAGTACTGATGTTGAGATTAAAATAAGTCGGTGTCTTAGTTACTTTTTCTTATTGCTGAGACAAAATACTCAATGCCCAAAGTTAAAGGAGGAAAGAGTTATTGTAGCTCATGGTTTGTAGAGGTTTCAGTTCATAGTTGGCTGGCTCTAAAGCAGGGTGGCATGGCAGAGGGGCAGTGCAAAGGAGAAAGAGTTCATGGCAGGCAGAAGGCAGCAAGCAGCAAAGCAGCAAAGCAGCAAGTGAACAGCAGTGGCCCTCTTTTTGTCCCTTATACTCTATTCAGGCTATACACCCTTAGGGCAGATAGCTCTCACACCCAGGGTAGGCCTTCGCATTATCCACACTCAGAACTCTGCCAAACCATTCACTGAACTAATTGACTAATCACAAAGCCTTGATCCCAACATCATACGCTCTAGATCCAGCCACCTCTGAAAAGCTCTGCCTATGACCACATGAGGCTTTAAGGGGACATCTAGATATAAGCCTTCACAGTAGGTGCATGTACAGATACAAAATCTGTGTGCATCAGCTGTATAACACCCAGAAGAAATACTTATTAATATTTTGCTGTACCTTTCTAGCCTTTTCTTTACATACTTGAGAATCATATAGATTTAAAATTTTTATCACTTTATAATACAATTACCAATTACACCACCCTTCTAACATCATTTTAAGTTGCTTTATTCTGTTCTATTATTATGTATGTGAATGATAATTATTTTTGTTTTATTTGCTTTTTATGATACTGGGGGTTAAACACGGGGCCTTTACACTGAATTACATCCCCGTTCCTTTTTATTTTTATTTTTTTAAATTTTGAGATAAGATCTCACTAAATTAAGACCCTAAGTTCCTCAGCCTGGTCTTGAACTTGTGATCCTCTTGCCTCAACCTCCCAGAGCACTGGGATTACAGGTGTGCACCAACATGACCAGCTATGATAGTTATTTTTGGAAATGTGGGTTACTTCCAGTTTGTCTTTCTGACCCTGAATGCCCTTCCTTTTTCAGCAGCAGCAGTAGGCGCTCTTTAGTCATCTCTGCTCCAGTTCGAACATCCGCCATCCCCAGCCCTGTTACCTCACCTACCAGTCCCTCTACACTTTCTTTGACGAGTGAGAGTGAAGCAACTGAGGAAGAGCTGCCACCTGATGCAGCCCCTGGAGAAGATCGTTCTGAGATTCAAGAGGAGTCCTTGAAAGATGAGGGAATGGAAGAGGAAGGGTCTGAAGCAAGCTCCTCTGAGGAGGAAGAGCCTTTGCTGGCCTGCAATGGGCCAAGCCAGCCCCAGCCCTCTCCCACCACCGAGGGGGACAAAACCCAGCAGGAAGTTCTCCCTTGCTCCTCAGCTCCATCACCAGACAGAGCTCTGACCCCTTCAGAGCAGTCTCCTTCTCTCCCAGAAATAACCCTTCGAACCCGCGCCTCAAGCGAAGGATCTGAATCACCAAAGAGAGCCTCTATCCAGAGGACCTCGGCACCCCCTAATCGGCCTCCTCCACCCAAAGCCCCACCAAGCCCTAGGGCCCCCTTGGAGACTGGGACTCCAAGTCCTGGGGCCTCCTTAGAGGCCTCTCCTAATCCAGAACCACCAGAGAAGCCACTGAGGTCTCCTGAGGCCAGAGAAAAGGAGAATACCCCTGAACAGAACCCAGAAGGACTTTGCATTTCCCCCAACTTGCATACTTCTCAGGTAAGAGCGGACCTTGTTGCGTCTTTGTTCCCTTTTACAATCACCATGTAGAATTATCTTTACTACACTCAAATTGCCCCATAGTTGATAAGATGCCATTAGTTTCAAAGATATTCTTGGACACTTCTGTTTTGGTTCTAGACATTGTTTATATCTTCATAGCAATTAATTTAGTGATCTAATCCTAGGGTAACTGACTTCTGTAAAGTATTTATCTGTAATATTATCATGAGCAGATTCTTACTCATTTCTTTTGCTCCAAGATTTGAAGTTCCCAATATACACAACCTACACAGGCATCCAGAGTTTTACCATGTTTAGTGGGCGTAGGGGAGAGAACCTTCAGTTTATTTCACCTGTGACTATGGCAAATATTCCCTGAGGAAAATGACAGCAAATTTGTCATCATCTTCTTTAATGAGAGGGAATTAGAAGCAGGTACTCACAGAAGAATTTAAAGCAAAAGAGCTTGCCTTTTGAAAGATGAGACTATAGATGAGAAAAATTGAGAGATAGTGACCCACTAGAGAACGCCTAGCTCAGTGAAGGCTCTGGAGATCAGGTCATACACTGTTCAGGTTACATGGGAAAGCTGTCCTTCAGAAGAGACTTCTGACTTGTTCCTTGAGACTCTAGAGCCCTGTGTATAAAGTTTAAAAGATACAATTTTGGGCCAGGTATTTAGTTCAGTGGTGTCGCCACCTGCCTCGCGGGTGCAAGGTCCCGAGTTCAATCCCCAGTACCAAAATAAATAAAAATAAAAAATAAAAAGATAGAGTTTGTATCAAGAGGCACTTTGAACAATTGCCTCTGTATAAGAAGCAGGTGGAAAAATATTTTTTAAAAAATATATATATATAAGGAGAATAGCACAAGGCACTGATAAAAAGCAAAATGGGGAACTGGGGCAGTTCGGTGGTAGAGGCTTGCCGTGCATGCATGAGGCCCTTGGAAGGATTCTCAGCACCACAAAAACATAAGTTTTTAAAAATAGGATGCAAAAAGTATTTCTCCTTCCTTGATGTTAAGAACTAAGGATGTATGCTGTCTGGTCAGGTTCGTGGCAGGGAGAAGTATGGTGGGAAGTCTGACCAGATGACACCAGGATTCCTTCTTTCAGTTTACTGTCACTTAAAAGAGTCCCTGCTATGTGCCTGACACTTTTCTAGATGAGTTATAGCAGTGAGCAAAACACAGAATTCTCTGCCTTCAAGAGCTTATATTGTAGTGGGAGAAGACAGTAATAAGAGATACAAACAAAAATTAAATGGGGGCTGAGTTGCAGTTTTAAACAGAGTTGTCAGAGATGGTGAGGCCTAAGCAAGAAAGAAGGCCAGCCATGAGTCGTTTGGCTTTTGGGGTTTTTTTGTTTGTTTTTTGGTACTGGGAATCGAACTCAGGTCCTTGTGCTTGCAAGGCAGGGGGTGGAACCACTGAGCTAAATCCCCAGTGACAGGAGTCCTTTGGATGGCTGCAAGAGGGTACCTGGTCCATCTCAGATCATACCACCCTACTGCTCCTTCCTTTGCCCAGTTGTATGGTGACCGGGCTACCTTGGGGAGCCCCCTACTACCTGAAAGGAGCACCACAGACAGAGGACTTGAGGGTAGCACCTAGGGATACAAAGGTGTGGGACTTCCTCCTACATTGTTCACTTTAATCTGCAGGGTTTTTCAGAGCCTGGAGATTTGAAGAAGATGGGAGACGAAGAGACCAATAAGCTTATCTCAGCTGATTCTCCTGAGGTATTAAAATCTAAGTCATCAACATTGTTGTCACCTCAGTCTTAAGTCATGTGTAGTACTAGAGGCCCCAGACTTGCCCTTGGCTGGTTTCTAGTCAGAGGCAGCTGTGCTGATTGTGAAATGCCTGGGACCTGTGGACGTTGAATAAGCCCATGGTCCCTGCACAGGTTTTATTGTTCAGCTACATCCCCACCCCTAATTCAGGGTCTTGAGCAAGTACTGTTGTCTCTCCTCATTTTTCTGCTCTGCAAATAGCAACTTGATGGTAGGGAAAACCAAAATCTGTTTGCCTTTGTAATGTATGATTGAGCATGGAGACAGCAGTAGAGTGATCTTCTGTTTGGCTCTAAGGAATAATAAAATAGGTTTGCATTCTTGGAGCATTTTATTGAAAGGGAGACTATAGGCACCAAGATGCCGTTTAACCTTTTGAGGAACAGGCCAATAATACCATCCTCCCTGGGAAAGAAGTGCAGCGCACAACCTCCTTTCCCCTGAGGCTGTCTCTTTATATTTGAGAGTAATAATGTTCCTTACTTCTGTGCTCCTGGGTAGGATTGATTTGGTTATCAGCTAAGGAGACATTTTCCCTGTGGAACTGAGCAGCTAAAACATCTTACATCTATCCTGTCAGTGTCCGCATCCTCTAAAATCGTGTCCTCCACCATACGCTCACCTCCCTTGCAGATACATCCTACATCACACCCTCTCCGGCAGAAGTATGGACATATCACATGTAAAATAGGCAGATAAAAATGTGACTGGGGAAAACCCTGTTCTTGCTCAGCATTTGAGTCACTTGAGAGGGAAGGAAGGTTTTGGTGACTTTTTGGGTGGTAATAATACCTTTGAGCACATTCATAGTCTAGAAAGGAAAGAGAGAGTAAGAAGAAGGGAATTTTCCTTAAATCATGGAATTTCAAGTGATTGCCACAGTGTTGGTAATCGGTCCTATTTTACAACGATAAATTTTATAGCGTGTAAACCAAATTTCAATAAAAAGGGCCAGGGATATAGCTCAGCAGGATAGCACCTGCCTGGCAAGTGTGAGGTCTTGAGTTCAATCCTCAATACCAAAAATAAAGAAAATCAGTTAAAAAATAAATTTTCTTTTTTAAAAGCCTGGTAGCGCAAAGGTCATTCTCTGGCATGGCAGTTCTTAAACAGGGACTTGTACACCTTGGGTTCCCATCTCAGGGCCTATAACTTTTCCCAAAGAAACCATTATACCGTTTGCTTCTCTAAAGCACTTACCATAGTTTAGGATCACTTGTGTGGGAGAGCTGTGGTAGATTCCTGGGAAGCTTAGTCTAAAAATAGCAGGTAGTAGTTTTAAGACCTCACACTCCTATATATATGTGCATGTCACACATATCACATGGTGTCTGTTCACGGGAACAACTCTGGAATCTAAAGGCCTGTTTTCCTGTCCCAGCCTAGTCATTTCACCCTTTAAATCTTGTTTGTTTCTTAATTTTTATGTTTGTTTTTTGAGGCAGGGTCTCAAAACCTGTGCACACGTTTCAAAATCTACGTAGTTTGGGCTGGCCTTGAACTGTTATGTAGCCCAGGCTAGCTATGAACTCACAGCAGTCCTCCTGCCTCAGCCTCTCGAATGCCAGGATTACAGGCATGTGCCACCATACCTGGCCACCCTTTTAATATTGATTGCTTTATTTATAAAAGAGCCTGAAGGAAGGCCTTCCCTGTTGCTTTAGGCTTTAGGAAAACCACCTTATATGTTTGCCCTTGGTGCTGTACATAACCCTTGAAAAGTGTAAGGAACAGACAACCCTTCTCGGGAGAGAGGCTGAGGATGTTGAGCCTTGATAGCAGATCTCTCTCTTTGTAGAGCCACAGTGATCCTGGGGTTCCAGGAGAAAATGACGTCACAGCACCTGAGCCTCAAGAAGAGGTAAGGAGACCAGAAATTCAGGGAGTAGTGTGAGTGGGGAGACTGCACTGGGTGGACGAGGCTGCAAAGCTATGATCCTCACTGTGGGCTCCAAATGCAGGGGGCATCCAGCAGTGAGCAACACCCTGCAGGCAAGGGGTGTCGGGCAGTGGGAGCCAGAGGAACCCATTTCCCAAGACTTGGCCTCACACTAACCCTGCCTCCCAAGTATTTATTTAATGATATCTGTACTTATTTTTAAAAAGCCTTGTTATACAAAAACATACAAAAGCATTATTTATATCATATATGTAATATACTTACAGACACTTAAAACATAGCAAAATTAACTCAGAAGTATGAAACAGAATGGTGACACAAAATGGAGGCATGAATTAGGAAAGTGCGAAATACATTGCTAAGGATCAGCTAAAAATTGTCCTAGACTTTTCCAACATCCAAGAAAAAGAAAACACCAATCACTTCCCCAATTTGCAGTGCCTGTGCTTTAGGAGAACAACAGCTATTGCTACTAAGAGGAGAAAGAAGTTTCTCCTGTGAATCTTCTTGAAGAGAGGCAAATAACATTAATGAACAGTGTCTGGTACAAGTCTTTGCAATAATCCCAACACCCTGCTTCATATTTGCCTCCCTTAGTAGAAGCCAGTGGCATTGCATGAAATACAAAGCAAGAGAAGGAAATTGAGCTTTTACTCTCTGGTGGTTGGTGGAAAGGCGGGTTGGCATCTAATGCAATCATGCGTACTCCCCAGGTATCCACAAGTGAAAATGTACAACTCTGAAGAGAAACTGCCAAGACCTGCCCTACACACATCTTCCCAGAGAAACTTCCCAACCAGAGGGGAAATAAAACCAGCATTCACTTCTGGCTTCTCAGGGGGTATGAGCGCTGGTTGTCTCGAAAGACCTGGCATTAAAGGGAGCTGAGGAGCAGCCTTATGGGAGGGAGGGAGGGAAGCAGGGAGGGAAGCAGGCTCGGAGAAGAAACTGTGAGACTCAGGGAATATTTTCATTCCGGTTTTAGCATTATCAAAAGAGTCACACTTCACATGATAATATGGGCCATGACATAAGAAGCAATAGTGTCTATAGACACATGACAGTTGTCCACAGTGAGACAAAGCCACACATACCCGGAAGACAGAGAACAAACCTGCTTTTGACTTACCACTCACTTTGCAAGACTCAAAGCCAATACAACATATTTTCAGATTGTTAAATAAAGTATGGTTTCGATTATATACGGATCCTTGTCTTGACATAGGGTGCTACTCCGGCCGAGCACACTGTTTCCCACGTAGGTAAGGTTATTGATTTTGCCCCAAGCTCAGAAAGCTTTAGTCATATCCCTCATGCCCAGCTCACCATACCTCTTGGTTGTAATTATTTTATTGTGCCTTTCCAGATATGTTACTACACAAGTAAATGCTGTGAGAAAGGGGTTGTTTTAGAGCAGTCTAGTACTTAGTACTATACTATACTACTGTAGTACTATACTATACTGTACTTAGTACCTAGTACTATACTTACTTACAGTCTACTACTTGCTTTGAATAGGGATCTGAGAGGGATGGATGGAAGATATGAAACTCCAAGTGAAGGGAAAAGACACAGAGTATAATACTATAGTGGAAATGAAATTAAATGTGAAGTTAGAAGTCCTGGGTGTGAAGCCTACCATTTTCTTTCAGTGAAAATATTGAAAGATAATACCGAAGCCTGTCACGTTGATAACTAATAGATGCAAATGCCTTTCCATCTGTCCTGTGTTTAGAGGTAATGATGTTAGCATCCACTCAATTATTCAGTGGGAATGTACTGAGCACATACTTTGTGTCAAGCACTGAGTACCAGTACTGGGTACTAAAGAAACAATTTGAGAAGAAACTAAGCTTTTGTTTTGTTTTTCCATTTTACTTTATTTATTTTTTTAATTAATTTTTTTTGTTGTTGTTATCGGGCATCAAACTTGGGACCTTGTGCTTGCAAGGCAGGCAGCAGAACCACTGAACTAAATCCCTGGCCCTCCATTTTATTTTTGTTAAGCGTTACATAACACATTGCATGCTACATAATACATTGCATAACCATCTACTAAGGGTAGATGACCATAACATTAATAAAATTACAGTAATAAAAATTACTTTTTTCATCAATCAAGAAAATTCTTCCTTCATACAAGAAATGTGCCTACTTTTCAGTCCGCCCCACCGATAGGGATAATGGGCAATCCTTTTTTCCCTTACCCCTGTTAGCAAGCTTGTACCCATGATGGTGAATCCAGGGAGAATGTCCATTAACCTCCCAGCATGGTGACCTGGACCAATAACCTCAGGAGTCATTTTTTAAAAATCTAATCCTGTTATTCTTCTTTAGAAAGAATGACTATTCAGCTGAGGGTGCTGGCACATGCCTCAAACCCAGTGTATTACAGCTTTCCCTGTCTCCCTAAAAGAGGAAAGGTAGTTAAGTTCATGGTTTCATGAGACTCAGTTCATGCTGTCTGCCTCCACGGCAGAGGGGCATGGTAGAACAAAGATGCTTAGTTCATGCTGGCCAGGATGCAGGTCAGAGGAACAGTTCAAAGAGGAAGGGGCCAGGGACCATATAAAGTACTCAGGTTCATACCTCCATGACCTACCTACACACAACCAAAAGTGTGTTTTGCTGATCGCCTATGCAGTTCTCAAGCCAGTCAAGTTGATACAATGTAGCTTAATCACCACATCCATCTATTTGGGAGGCTGAGGCAGGAGGATTGCAATTTTGAGACCAGCCTGGGCAAATTAGCTAGACCCTGTCTCAAAAATGTGTTAAAAGGGCTGTAGGTATAATGGTAGAGTGCTTATCCAGCAGGTGTGAAGCCTAGGTTTAATCCTCAGCACTGGAAAAAAAAAAACTATTATTCAAAGGATATATTTTGTATGGACTACTGAGGAAGGAGTTGCATGCTCTCCTAGAGAAGAGTTTACACTCTCCTCCCTAAATACTCAGAATCTCTGCTGGGAATGGTGCCCTGGGGGTACCGGAAGGGTACAGAAAATTCTGGGAATACAGGCCACTCAGTGCAAGGCCCTCCATGATCTGCAGGTTAAGCCCAAAAACGGCAAAACCCAGTTCAAGACTTGTGTCCAGGACTTTCCTGACTCCCATTGCCCCAAGAAAGAGATTCTCTTTGTGGAGTATGCTGGAGATTGAGAGTATGTAAGTAGAGACTTAAACTCTGGTGGGGGAGGGCACACTGTTTACCCTGATTCACAAAATGGTAGGATTGTCTAGGGGAAAGTCTAGCGTTTAGAAGACTGCCGTCCTGGCAGCTGCATCAGATAGGATTGAAAGCTAATAAAATTAGAGCTGAGTACCTCTTATCTCCTGCCCTAAGGTCCCTGAAGGTCTATTGACAAAAGGATGGCTGCTCTAGTTTCTGGGGGCTCAGCACTTAATCCTTAGAGAACACTAAGGGACTAACATGGGGCTCCGGTCATCATCTATCCTTGTATAGCGTTTATAGCAGGAGTTGCAAGTGCCTCCAGCATTCTGACAGACGGGGTAAGACAGACAACTCTACAAACGTGACATGTCCAGGAGAAATAGGCTACACCACAGAGCATAACGCATATACTGCTTATAAAATTCTTCACATCAAACTGGATGTTCAGCATGTGTATATTGGATCCTATTTTGTTGCATGTTTTCACATTTAAAATGAGTTATGTGCTTACAGGGGAAAAAACATGTATTACCAATTTTTTTTTTTTTTAACTTGGGATCCTCCTGACTTAGCTCATAGAGTTCTGGCATGTACCACCTCAGCAAATCTTTGTTTTGTTTTGTTTTATTTTTTTGAGACAGAGTTTGGCTTTGTAGTTCAGGCTGGCTTTGAAATCACTCTGTAGCCCAGGCAGGCTGCAAACTGGCTATGATCCTTCTGCCTCAGCCTCCCAGGTGCTGAGATCATGGGCTAACTTCCAAATGTCTACAGACAGCTCTGAGTCTGTGGTTCTAACAATTTCCAACACAGACTATACTGAGGAGGAGACAGACCCAGACTGAAGGATCCCAGCCTTTCCTGCAATTATGGTCGGCTGGTCAGCTTCTCTTCCTTTGGAAGTTAGCCCATTAGGATTTGAATTTCCTTTTCTCTCTGGTTTTTCTTATCGAGGACTGGCTAAGCTGACCTTTCTCTTCTTAACATCTTGCCTGTGTGTCACTTTCTTTGCCTTTCTGGGTTGGATTGGCAGTTTCCCAGCACATGAACTACTTTCTCACTAATAGTGCTTTGCCTTTAAAAAATATAGAGTGAGGGAGCCGAGCGTGGTGGTGCACACCTGTAATCCCAGCACTGGGGAGGCTGAGGCAGGAGGATCACTGTGAGTTCGAGACCAGCCTGGGCTACATAGTGAGACAGGTCCGTC